ACATTCTCTTCGGTTCTAGTGGACAGGGTCGCAATTGGGAAAACAAAAAACATGTCGAAAATGACGCACCCCTGTAAAAATAGGGCTCTTGAAAAGTGCTAATAAAAACTGTCACTAACGCTAATATCTTTTTTCCGATGATACAGATCTCTGTAGGTCGGCCGAAGCTTTTCCAGCCGTTTGACATTGAGTAAAATTTTTACTTAAAATATTAAATTCTTATGCTCTATAATTTACAATTCATCGCTATGATAATCGCTTGGAAGAATGATACGTAAACAACCCTTGCACATTAAAATATTCGCCAAGCTTTGTCAATAGTCTGTCAATGGGATATATCGAGTGCACAACATCAAATAGCCGGTGAACGAAAGAATGTCCTTGTGCAGAGTCAGATGAAATCTAGGTAAAATGGTTTATTTGCTGTCACACACCTCTGCTGCAAACGGACTTGGAGTGTCTTCTGAAGCGTTTTATTGGGCCGATTCCGACCGAGGCTTCCAGGCAATTACTTTAATATCACAAAAGCGAAGTAGAGAAAGAGGCTAAGTAAAGTATACCAAAGGGTTGGGCACGTAGTTCGGAGGCCTATGTATCACCCGTGTATCCTGCGTTTGAGGCAGCATGACCTGTATCCATGGTGGCATCCATTTCAGTCTCCATTCGGGAGTCTTTGTTGATATTAGTCTGCATTGTGCTGAGTTCTTGAGGCTAAAAAGCAAAATAAGGGAAGTTTTAGTAAAAGCCCCATAAGAAGTTGTGCTCAAGTCACTCCCTGACCTGCTTTACTTGCCCAATTTTCTCTGCCCCGTTGAGAGTCGGCATCGAGTCCAATGTCTAAGGGAGATTAGTTTTACTACCTCATCCTTGTCTCAAAAGGCATGCCGGGTTCAGTGAATTCGACAAAAGACTTATCTCCTTAACTTACAGCATTTCAGGCTCGTTGGCAGAGTTGAATTATATCCTCTTACTAGGTATCGAAACTATCCATAAATCTTGAAGAACAATCCCAGTCATTCTAGGCTGTGTAAGGTAGTGAAGGACTGGTGGATGAATGTTTTCACGAGATGAGCAGACATTAAGTTTCCATTGAATTCCACTTAGCTTTGCTTCCAGCACCCCCAATGGTACCCGAACCCGGTTAATGTAGTGTATAATCTGGAGACGTTACAACTACGCCACACTGTAGGGTGTGAATTTAAAGGAATTTCAGGCTTCCCGTATCACACTCGGATAGTGGGATTGCCAATAAGGCAAATTTTGCTATTAAAATCAACTATATTACTTATATTCGGATTGAGTAGGTTTCAAAATGATCATAATTTGGGATTACTATTTAAGCGGCAGTAGTTGGGAGAATTATGCTGACAGCTTTGGCATAATAAGCGAATTAGAACCGCAAGCTATTAATTTATTCTACCAAGGTAATGAAAATTACTTCGTAAAATATGTTAGGCGACTTCATTATATATAATTTTCTGCACAACTCCCAATGGTGCTATCGCCTCTTTCACTGAATCGAATTGATCTGACCTCATTCTCGCGATGTGGTATTGTTATCAAAGCTATCTCGAAGAACATATCTTGTATAGTGCTCAATCTCATAGGAATCATGATCACTTCCAGCACTGGGTCGTGGACTTGATATATTCGCATCCGTTTCACCAGTATCATGGTAGACATCGTTAGTGAGACTCGCCAGTTTTTCCATTGAGCCAGGGCGCATAAAAGGGACACATCAAATCCATTCTGTAATCATATATATGCTGAATGTTTTCGGTATCCCTTCTTCTGTCCTGGCACATTCAACCATTCTGAGTGGATTTAGTGAGGCGTAATCACAATCACAACAGGAATGTTTATATGGGATGTACTAACCCTATTTCGTTTAAGGTGAAAGGTCTCGAAATTCTACTTACATACGAAAAATAAGTAACGTTGTTATAGCAAATATACGTTTGCTTCATTGACAATCCCACCAAAGAATGTGATATGACAAAAGGCCTGACCTTCCTTGAAATTCACATCTGCCCTGTGACTCAAGGGCACTCGTGGCAATGTGGCCGAGTGGTCAACGTGTCAAGCTCATATTCTGCACTGTCATGGTTCGACTCCCGCTGGGGGTGTTGATAAGACCGATGCGAGGTCGAAACTGAAGT